TTATTGTTAACAGGGGGTGGAGTGATACTGGCAACTCCACCCCCTGTTAACAATAAGTGTTAATTAGGTGTTGTGATGTGATTGTGATGCTGTATTTCTGAGTGTTTATGTGCTGCAGAACAGGAACCTGCTGTAAAACAGCAATTATGCTGAGTCAGGCTTGATTTTTAATAATCTTTTCCTGTTAAATAAATAAATCAAATCAAAAATCAAATCAAATAACTCGAGATAGGAAGCACCAAATTTGAAGTCAATAAATTATATTTACATGTTGACAGTAATTTTACTAATTACCATTATACATCCCACACCTCAACCCAACCAGTTATAGTTCAGCCAATCTGCGCCCACATCTGCAGAGACCCCCTACTCCATTCAAGTGATGCTTGAAATATAAAAACTCAGTCATCCCCTCTAGAGTGACCGTAATGTCACGAGTAAACATTTCAAATACAGCCTTACGTTGTATCGTTTTTATAATTACTTTGCATTCAAAATTGTACCATATCATGTATCGTATAGCTTCTGGTTAATAGCCATAATTCCAATGAAGTTTATACTTGTGTAAAACGTAAATAATACCATAATACAATGATTTACAAATGCTTTTCAACCTATATTCAATTAAATCCATTACAATGACAAGATATTCAATGTTCAAACAGATAAAATTTATTGGTTTTTTGCAATTATTGGTTCATTTTGAGTTTGATTCCTGCAACATGTTCCAGAAAAAGCAGTTACAGTGGCAACAAAAGACTGGGAAAGTTGAAGAATGCTAAATAAAACACACCTGTTTGGAGCATTCCACAGGTTAACGGGTTAATTAGAAACAGGTGAACATTATGGTTGGGTATAAAGGGAGCATCCACGAAAGTCTCAATATTTCATGAGCAAGGATGGGGAGAAGTTCACCACTTTGTGAACAACTGTGTGAGCAAATAGTCCAAACGTTTAAGGTTTTTCAATGTTCATCTACAGTCCATAAAATCATCAAAAGATTCAGAGAATCTGGACAAATCTTTGCAAGCAGCAAGACTGGAAACCAACACTGAAGCCGGGTACACACCAAACACGTTTGAAGCAGCCAGTTTACATGCAAACACTATGGTGGACGCGCATGTACGAGCAGTGCAGCACGTAGCAGCGCGCTTTGCCAGTTGAGAGCAGCGCGCAACATGCGGCAGAGCATTTTTCCACACATGCGGCAGTTGCAAAGCAGCGGCTGCTAAAGTTCAACAAATTGAACTTTGGCTGCTTGCCACGCAGCAGCAACCAATCGGGAGAGAATTATTTTTCATGTGACGGTTTCACAAACCCGACACAGACGGACCGGAGCCTTTTTAGCTGAAATCGACAGTCTGCAGTTGGTGTTCTAGCTGGAGAGATCAGCACCGATATGATGAGACGGCAGCAGCTCGCTGAGCTCGGGACAAAAAAAAGGCCCTCAGCTCGCAGCTCCTGGAGTGGCGAAACTTTGGTAAATAAAACAAAGCCATTTTATTTATTTCATCTTTATTTCACCCATCATTAAAGACAGACCAGAAAAAAAACCAAGACCCTCCTCCCTCTACAGCCTCTAGTTTGGTCCCGGTCTGAAAAAAAAAAGTCAGTGAGAGCGCCTGGTGAATTAATTATCTGCTCTGTGCGCAACGTTCGCTTGCTCTTTAGTAAATAAAGCAAAGCCATTTTATTTATTTTATCTTTATTTCACCCATCATTAAAGACAGTCTGGTCCTGGTCTGAAAAAAAAAGTCCGACAGAGCGCCTCTAATATCTGGTGAATTAATTATCTGCTCTGTGTGCAACGTTTGCTTGCTCTTTAGTAAATAAAGCAAAGCTATTTTATAAATTTTATCTTTATTTCAAACGTCAACCGACTGGAAAAAGAACAAAGACGCTGTGGACGGACAGCTACTGACAAGCAGCCAAACGCATGCATCAGGACCAATTTGGCTGCAACAAACGCGTTTGGTGGGAACCCGGCTTTGAATGCCCGTGACCTTTGACCCCTCAAGCAGTCCTGCATTAGAAACATTCTGTAATGGATCTGACCCCTGTCCCAGCTTTTATGGAATGTGCTGCAGGCATCAAATTCAAGGTGAGTTTAAACATAATAATAATAAAGTTTATCTGTTTGAACATTAAATATTTTGTCTTGTGAAATCAATTGAATATAGGTTAAAAAGGATTAGAAAATCATCGTATTCTGTTTTTATTTATTTTACAAGGGGTGCTCCGATTGCAGTTTTCTAGCCGATCACAGATCTTTAAAAAGTCCGACCAGCCGATACGAATTTTGTCCAATTTTTTTAAATAGCTGACACTGTCAGGTGTTATAAGGTTACAATAGACCTTCAGTGTTCCAATCATATTGAAAAATATTGAACAAAACCCTTGAAACAATACAAACTTGTTTTTACTGGACATCAGAGTTCACAGCAGAGCAAAAAGGAGACAGAGGCTGATTTTAGACCTTTGAACTGATTTTTTCCACTGGTCTTATCTAAACATTGGCCAATCTCTGATCTCCCAAAATTGAGTCGATAAATTGGCCGTCCAGTTATTGGTGCACTTTTACACAACAGCCAGACTTCATTGGACTTGGGGATGTATAACTATTGGGGCCTGATGTTTTGGTTTGAATTTGTTGATTATGAATAATAAATACACTGAATTTACCACAAACACTTCTTGTATGTTAGATTTCAACCTGGAGCCACAGACTTGTGTTTGAAAGTAAAACTTTTTGAGTGACATCATTTAATTTCCTTCAGTTGCGTTTGTGTTGCACACGTTTTTTTGTTTTCATTTATCTTGTGTGAAACTCAGACGACCGGGAAAACTTTACATTCCAGTTAATCCTAAACTGAAATTTAGATTCCCTGCTCTGCAGCGAGGCACCCCACAGACCAACTTGAACAAGCCCTTGAGTAGTTTTTAAACCAATGAAAGTGCAAACATTAGTTCCGTATGGTCTGAAAATTCACAGTAGGTGTCAAACGGTCTCCATAAACATCCGCCACATCAGGATCTACGTCAGAAAAATCCCAGATTTATTCTGTGAAAAGCCGTAGAAAACGTTGGACTCTTGCTCCTCTCTCTCTGTATCACACCTTCTTGGTAAAGATTCCAGTAAACAGAAAAAAACCTCAAACAAAATGCAGTTTTTGCTGTTTCCTATAGCTGCGTGGTGACAGAGTCCTCTAAGACGTCACAGCTGTCCCCTAAGACGTCCTCACAGGGTCCCAACCACCCGCCCATCATCATCATCAACCCTCCTCCTCCGTCCCGGTCCACGCCACCCTGGTCCACCCGTCCCACGCCTTCGCTCTGGAAAACGTCCTCGCTGGAGTCCAGGAGGCGCGCGCTGGACTCGGACATATTGGAAGCACAGTGCAGGGATTGGCAGGGGCAGGGGGGCGGGAGGGGCAGCGCCATGAGCGAGTCCCGCCCGTTCGTCCTCGAGAACGACGGGCTGTCCACCGAGCGGCCCACCTCGTTCAGGTTGGAGTCGCTTCTGGTGACGTCGCTGAGTCCAAAGTCGGAGCGGCCGTGGCCCCCCAGCGGCCGGAGCAACCCATCGGAGATGGTGAAGGAAGACGGGGACTGGAGGGGGAGTGGCGTGGGCGGGGCTTTGCGTTTGGAGCGCGAGAACAGGTAGGAGAGGCGTTTGAAGGAGTCCGTCTTCGCGCTCGGGGCCGACAGGCGCTGCAGGCGGTTCTTCGTGCGAGCGAGCGACGACGAGAACGTGGAGAACGACGAAGACGACGAGGGGAGGATGGTGGTGGAGGGCGGGGGGACGACGCTCGTCTTCAGCCCGTTGCTCTTTGGTTTCCCCTCCTCTTCCTCCTCCTCCTCCCCCCACCCCATCACCTCCTCCAGCTGACCCTCCTGCCCTCTGTCTATCCGTGTCATCCCTGAAATGGAGCGCACCAATGCAGACACGCCGAGCGTCGGACCGGACCTCCTTTCATCTTCCACCGTGTTAGAGAAAGTGACGCTTTTGGACTTCTGAACCCCGACTCCTCCTCCGCTGCCGTCGCCCGATTCGCTGTCGTCCTCCGACGCCACTGCGGCGTCATCTTTAGTGGTCTCGCTGGAGGAGGAGTAGTGTCGCCGTGGAGGACGCCGATTGCCGAGGAGATCCAGCACCTCGTAGCGGAAACTGGAGATGTCCTGTTTCAGCTCCTGCAGGGAGACAGCAAACAGATTATTGCAGCAACGTTTAAAGACAGTTGGTGGTATTATCGTAGGAAAGTCCAACTTCTAAACTAAACCTCAGTACCTCAACGCCACACTCACAGTTTGAATACTTTGGTTTTTTGTTAAACAAATGGCTCTGCTGAGTGGTTTTGTTTACCCCAGGTTAATGTCTTTTAGAACATGGTGAAGATCATTTTTATTATCCCGAGGGTTTGTTTTACTTCTCACCATCTCTGTCTTTTCTTTTAGCCATAAAAATGTTTTTTTTCCAACAGTATCTAAAGGTGTTTTTTTTTTTTCATCTCTTTTGAAGTCTTACACGGTTCGATAAACATGAATGAAAAACCCAAACTGGAAAGAAGAGGGTGAGGAGGGTAAGTGGGAGAGATGAAGCTGATGGCTGCCTGAGAGAGGGGAGCTGAAGCATCAGTTAGTCGAGGCGAAGGGTGAAGAGGAGGACAGCAGAGAGGAGCAAAAACAGAGAAAGAAAGAGGGAATTAACAGTGGAAGTGAAGGGATGTGTTTTAAAGAAGAGTGTGAGGCCATACGGGAAAAACACTCAATTACAGCAACAAAACACGCAACACAGTTTGGTTAAACAGAAAAAACTAATACTTTCAGTGTTCTTTTATATTCTTCTTTCTGCTACCTTTCATTTTATTTGTGATTTGTATTGTTTGTTGGATGTATAGAATTTGTTTTGTTTTTAAATGAAATGAATAAATTTACTAAATGTAAAACATATTTTGTGAATTAAAACAAATTATTTCATAAAAAAGAAACAAAACATGATGAAAAGAGGATATTTTAGTGCTGCAGAATCGCAGTGGATATTTTGAATTCTTCTTTTTCCCATTTAAATCATTCAGTTGGGTTTTATATAAAGAGGAACTGCAATGTTTTGGTCAGAACTCCATAAGCCCCGCCCATTTTTTGGGGTGTGTCTCAGATCAACTCGAGGTGAGAAGGGGTTCTCTGCAGACTCAAAGTGGGCGTTTCTCAAGCGTAAACACTGATTGGCTAGTTGTTTTTGCTCTGTTTCTCAAAAAAGTTGATTTTCTTTGGTTTTAGTAGCCAAAACAGATTTTTTATGAAATCGTAATATACCATTAAAAAAAAACATCTGGTTCTCCCCATTTCTAAATGTCTCCAAAAATAAAATACAAAAACAAACAAACAAAAAAAAAAAACCCACTACTGACTAATGTTGCTCTTATTTTGAAATGTAACCGGGAGAAGCGGAAATAATGAAAAAAAGACGTCGAGTCAGACGCTGGCTGCGTCTTCATATAAACATAATAATGGTGGCTAAAATTATCTGCTGGCTGTTGTTATTCAAAAAATCTTCAGATTACCTTGGTAAGAACAGCAAGTTTGTGAAACTAAATAGATAAATATGAAAGTCTGATGCTAGAAAAGTAAGCTATAAGAAACGCCTAAGCAATGATCATCCAATCTCAGGTGGTGTGCTTGAGTAACACCCCCTTTTGTGCTCATGTGTGTCCTTTGTAAACGCCAACTCGTCTGCAGAGATACCTGCTTGCTTGAGGCTCTCTCTAAACCCCGCCCCCTTCAGCTTCCTGATTGGTCCATTCTAGTTTGATAAAGGGGTTTATGACTATTTAGATGCACAAAAACTTTTTTTTTTTACAAATGAATTAAAAGATGTCAACAAGGGAAGACTTGTCCATCCAGCCTTACATGTTGGAGCCAGAGTCTGACCAAGAGGAGGATGAAGACCACCAAAGTGTAGTTGGTAAGTTCAGACCTTATGTATTATATAATTTGATATCTAACGGCTAAAAAAGTGGATTTTTTCATGTTCCCTGTAATGGAAGAATATCTTATGACTCCCTAGCTGCATACTACCTTGACATATCCTGTTCGTGACGCCATTTCTGTTGTGGAAAATCCCATCAGGGCAGAGATGCGGGAAATAAACAAAGTGGAAACTATGTGGTCTCGGTCTCAGATTATTTAATAGAAAAATGCATATGCAAAGATTGAGCAGAGCTAAACAGACATGATCAGGCGTCTGTCAAGCTCACACTGACCCAGATACAGGAAACAGACAATATATAAACATCCTGCTAACAAAATAAGAGTGTCAGAGATGTTCAGGAACCAATGAGATAGTTACAAGTAAAATAGTTCATGAGATGTGGACAAGGTTGCAGGCATACAGCATGTTAGGAGAACAGATTATTACACTGTGGCAGTTATCAAGAGATACAGAACAGGACATGTCAAGGTAATATGCAGCTAGGGAGTCATAAGACATTCTTTCATTACATTCCCTTTTATATTCACAAAGCTAAAACAGATTGTTTAAAGGAACGCTGGCACAGAAGTTAAATTTGTGCCATTTCAGTAATTATGGCATTTTTTAGACAAACTTTCAGCATTTCTATCAATTACTCAGCAGCAAACCCATCTGGGGACAATAAACTTCCCCTCTCCTTAAATCTCTTTCAATCTAACTTGACCTGCAGCTTTTAGACTAAATTTCCATAAATACTTTCAGTCGCTGTGTTTACCTTTCTCCCCTTCTGTTTTTGTCTCTCCAATAAAACACACAAAAAAGATATAAAGCCCATAAATCAGCTTGCAGCAACTTCACAGATTTTTTCCTCCACTTGCCATATGGGATTGTCCATGCCTCGTGTTGTTTTTATTCCTCAGGGAAAGAAAACGCTGATGTTGGTTACACATGTCAGCGGACAAAAACCCATAACCTGAGCAGACGCAGGTAAACCAGGAGGGAGAAGTGATTCGGTCCGATGTGCACCTGACGGTGTTGCCGTAGTTTGAAAAAGCCCAAAGGAACGTTCACTTTGAAGCCTCCAAGGGCATGGTGGGAACCCGACCCCTGGGGTTAAAATAATTTACGGCCCTGGAATATTGGAGAAGGCAGTCAGGCGTTGCTGCTGGAACAGGGTTTTTGGGAAATGAAGAGGCAGAAGGTGGACAGCTGGTTGTTATTTAAAGTCTTTTAATAAATCTTTGAGGCAATAAAAAGCTGTTCTGTCTGCTACCAATAAAAGCTGCAGAGGTTATAGAAGATCTGACGTAAATAAACCGTGGACCTCCAGCTCTGCAGAGCATCAGGTTACAGAAACACGGGATGACATCATTTATGCTCCTCGTTTACGACGGCCCGTCGTCGTGACAGCTGAATCTCATCGTGGACACTCACCTTAAAGTTCTCTTCTGTCAGTCCTTCGTCTGTTTTGGCGCTGCGAATCATGGCGGCCACATACCTCTTCACCAGGTTCCGGATCACTTCCTGTTGGAGACAGTTGTCATGGTTACTAACATCAACTTCACTTTTGTTTTCACTTCTATAAACCGGAACAGACTTGTGCCAAACAATGCACATCCCACTCTTAATACTTATCGCCTGCCAATACAAAAGCCAGGCAGTTACGTACTTCAGTGTGTGTGTGTGTGTGTGTGTGTGTGTGTGTGTGTGTGTGTGTGTGTGTGTGTGTGTGTGTGTGTTCATTTTGTTTGACACTGACATACCTCACACACCGGTCAATGGATTTTAGAGAAACTCTAAAAGAAATAATTGAATGTATACTGTACATACAACTGATCAACTACAAACCAGTTAAAGAATATGGAGCACCAAGTATGAACAAGCAAATGTTAAAAATGTAAAAAAAAATGTCACTAACTTTGTTGTTTGGCTCATTGTTCTTATGTTTGTATGGAGCCCGTCCGATGACATGGAATAAAAAAAATTATCATGTGGCCATGAGATAATTACGTCGTGGCCACCAGATAACTAATTATTGTTGTCATTTCCGTGCAGACTGTTCGTTGTTTACATGGACACGTCTGAATTAAACTAATTTATTTTAATAGAATGAATGACGTTGCTTCGTCCCCACCTTACGTTAGGCATGAAGTAGCTGTTTCTTAGTGCTGCAGCTGTAAGTCCCAGATCACAACTGGAGTTGTTTACAACTTTATTTTCTTTTTTTGAAGCTCAACTTTCATCTGCAGGAGGCGGAGTTATGCTGCATTCAGGAACACAGTAAAAAAATCTGTTTCCTGAAACACAACTATCGTCATTTCATAAATGGCCTAATATAAAAGATGATACATTCATATTGGCATAATTTATTTGTCTCCCAAAGAAGAAATTTGTCTTAGAAGAGGGAACAAAGCTGCAGTACAGCAAAGACAAAAACAATTCTTCTAACGCTGCTAATGTGGCTAATGCTGTTCTTATCCTAAAGTTCTCTTACGTTTGTTCGTACGATCCCTTCGTACGAACATGCCACGTCAGATTCAATAAACTCTTCTGTCTTCTGTTATAAAATATACGACAGGTCTGGACCACACAGGAATTTTGTTCGTATCTGAAAAAAAAAAAAAACTTAAAATACGAGAAAATTGGTGATGCCACAAATTCTCCTAAATCACTCGTACGCACAATTTAAGAACAAATCTGTACGTACGAATGGTTCTCGCATGAGGGCCGATGTGCAATTCTTCAGGAAATGCTAGTTTTTTTTATACTGTAATATCAGCTTATTTGTTGGGGAGCAGTCTCAGCTACTACCACACCAAAATGTAGCTTAACATTTATTAAATGGACTAAACTAAAACAATTTTGTGTTGGTTGATCAGCTGTGGTAGCTAATGATCACATATTAAACATATGGAAATGTTAGCTTGGTGGTTAGCGCTGCAGTTAGCTTTTCTCAGGTGCTCATAGGGGTGTAAGAAAAATATCGATACACTGAAATATCGCGATATTTCAAAGGAAAAAAATTGTATAGGTCCTCTGGACGGGTTCTTCTTTAATGAAACGTTTCGTCTCTCTTCCAAGAGACTTCTTCAGTCTGAGAGTTTCAGGCAAAATTCAGGCTTTTATGTCCTGCCTCCGTGGTTACAAGAAAAAAACTAATAG